CATTATAGATATTAACGGGATTGTTACCATGTACCTTGTTTTTTATGAGTCTCCGATATTTCGGCACTGTTGCAAGCGCCATGATCACGGAGTAACTGAAGTAATTGCGGGTAGATGTTATTGGCAGACATATCGGTCTACCCTCTGACGTCGTCTTTTACTGCGTTCGATACTACCACTACCATTGGTCACATTCTCACTATTCACTCGCATTTGTTCCCGGCACACAATACTCACAGTATCAGATCGCGGAACGACACTTTTTTGATTTTTGCGGTTTTTATACATACGAACCACTGGATTCCACACACTAGACAATTTAAACCCATCCTCACGATTGAAATTCTTGTGTTTGGTTATTTCAATCGCTTCCCTGACCATTCTTGGTATGTAGTGGCGTTCTGTAGAGATAATTTGTGGATTATGGAGCTCAATCCAGTGATTAGGACCCGAATCAATTAAATGTTCCGCGATGGCTGATTTTTGCGTATCATTATTTCTGACTGCTTTAATGTGTTCTTTCATTCGGCACGCTAATCTTTATTTTTATTACAAAAAATAAAGATGTGGTTTTTGGTTCTACTACACCAATGGTCAAGAGATGGCGCTGTAGTCTCCTGAATCGCGCTTTGGTTCCGTTGTTCCAGATTAATAAATACTTTTTGTTACTTTATTACAAAAAATAAAGATGTGGTTTTTGGTTCTACTACACCAATGGTCAAGAGATGGCGCTGTAGTCTCCTGAATCGCGCTTTGGTTCCGTTGTTCCAGATTAATAAATACTTTTGGTAGGCCTTCACAATGCAGTCGTTAGCACCCACTAAATAGAGATTCTATTTCTATTTTGTTGGTAGATTTTCTTAATGTGCGGTAAACACAAAAGTAACAACAAGTAAAAGCGACCAACTTCATGCTGTTAATTTTTTGTGTTACAGTGATGCGAGCGCATCTTAAAATTTCACTCTCATCATTTTTTCATAACGCGCCTAAAGAAGTATAACTTCAAAAATGAATATTTATTGAGAATACAGGTTATTACTTGAATGATATCGAAGGACAAACTTAGAATTTTAGTAAATTCAGCCACCCACGTTGTCTTCTAAAGACAAATAAAAAAATATTAAAACGACAATTATTTTTCATTCTAAATTGAAGCTAAAATCACTAGTGGTGATGTTATTCCATACGAAACAAGATAATTCTAATCAGAACGTGTTATATAATTTACGATAGCAGTTCGTAATTGTGACCAATTTCAGCCACTTTAACGATATCGACTAAACTTGTTTTGAGTTGAGATAGGTAAGTACTTTTACCGACGAAAAAAAACCGAGAAGGTTCTGAAGTCGACGTGTATAATTTTTTTAAGTATGTCCACGCATAACTTTTGACGTGACAACGTCTTAAATTAGGTTGCGGCTGGGAGTCACTTATGAAAAAGTGTAACGCTCGGTAACGTTACGATGAGTTTAAGTTTACATGTACAATGTTTTAGTAAACAAAATATATTTCTATAGTTAAAATTTGTGCAATTCTTATTTTCATTCAATTCCTTGTTCCTATTGTGCAATTTAATTATATTCATATCAATAAATATTCTACCGAGAAAAAGACGTTGTCACGTAAAATCTTCGCCCGTAAAACCGACTTTACAGGCAACCATTTTTTTGATGGTAGTATGATTCTTTTTTATTGGATTTGGTATACCTCGAAATTGGTCCTACAAAAATTTGGAAAAAAATACCAACCCTAAGGGTAGAATGATTATTTTTGATATGATGATTATTGACGACCTCCTTTGGTTTGTACGCCGGGTTTCATGGTGTCATCATCTCGAGAGGTCCTGGGTTCGAATCCCAGTGGGGGCAGATGTTAGTGTGATGAATACGAGCATTTGTACTCCAGTCATGGATGTTTAATATGTATTTCTATATAAATATACTTATATATGTACAGTATATGTATTCTATCCGTTACCCTAGTATCCCATAACACAAGCCTTATAGTGCTTAGCTTGGGGCTAGGTTAATTGGTGTGAGTGTTGGAAATATTTATTATTATTATTCACTCACTGATTGTAATACTGAGAGAGTTGAGCTGAGTATATTACAAAAATTATAGCCACAAAAATATGTGTATAAAATAAACACTTTAAACAAAAAGATTATCAATTTGACGACTCAATAAATAATAAAACAGGGAGAAAAAAACAGCCCTTGCTGAGTTTCTTGCCGGTTCTTCTCAGTACAAGGTCTCCCGCCGTAGATTTACGAACCGATGGCGTAGCTTCTAGACATTCATGAGTGCTCGTAACAGCCTAAACTGAATAAATGACTTTGATTATGATTATGATTATTAAACCCACCAACAAAACTGTAAAGCAAGAAATTATCACTTTTCTTAACTTTAGTCAAATTAATATAAGAGCGCGTTGACCACTGCATCATAACAATTGCAAAAAATTCTTGTACTTTGATTAAGCTAGCAACTGGTTTGTTGGACTTTGGACTCGAAACCTACACCGTCATGCAAGTCATAATGACTATTGAAATTTATAATACTCTGATAAGAATCAGCAAAATGTTATGCAAACGTATGATGACTTTGTAATTTTTTTAGTTCTATCATCCGAGAAAGGACTTTGGAACCATAGATCATCATCATTCGATGATGATGATAAACTTATCTATGTTTGGAAAATAAACTCGTGAGCTTTCAAATATTTTTGGAATTTGGGCATATTTGGAATATTATCAAGAGTACTGCGGACTGATGTATATAGATGTCCTACTTAAGTATCCAATTGTGTTATCAACACTTTGCAAATACTGCCACGTTGAAGTGGTGGTGCCGTACCATCCCAAAATGTTAAAAATAATATATTTGCAACACAGCCTTATTGATTAGCAAAAAAGATCATCAGGCCTTGAATTTTTCGATTGTTGTTTATGCGTTAATATAAAGACACATTCTATGAAAACTTCAAGTGTCAACCTACATCAGAGAATCCCGTAGACAGATGGACAGCAGCGGAATATTAATAACAGACGCATCCCAATGACTTTTTTGAGCGATATAATATAGATAGGTATAGCAAAGTTAGAAAATGATCCTGTTTGATTTCCTTTGTAAAATTAGCGTGAGTTATTTTGAAGTTAAAGTTATAATTAACAAAACAATGCGTGAATGAGAAACCCTATCTTATCTTTATATAATGCCTTACCGAGATAAGAGTACGTACTTTGTATCTGTATCCACCATATTTAGAGATATAGCATTTTTTAAATAACACCTGTAATGATAGCGATAAGGTTATATAAATAAATAAATAAAAAAGGAAATAAAATATAAAATATTTACACAGATTTCTCGATTTTTTCTATAACAACCAACCCTTATTAAACAAAACAAGTTTCAACGGTATAGATGCACTGATTAATTTATTTATTGACATTACAATCTTTTTTACATTACATCTAAGCATATTGTTGAAACTTGTTTTATTTAATGAGTGGTGTGCGTGAAAACCATAGATACTTATCTGAATTGGAAAAATCAAATTGAGAAAATTAATGACAAAATAAGTAGTTATTGTTACGCCCTGTCAATGTTGACCGATATATCATCCACTGAAGTAGCATTAAATGCTTATTATGGTAATATAATATCCCATATTAAGCTATGGAATCATATTTTGGGACAATTCTGTTAATGTTGAAAGTACATTCCTATTACAAAAAAGGTGTTTAAGAATAATTTTTAATAAACATCGTGACGAATCAATGCGTAATATTTTTAAAGAAAAACAAATTTTAACATTGTACTGTATTATGTATTAGAAATGTGTAATTTTTTAAGATGTCATATGTCTGAATTTCCAAAGATCTCTGACAAGAGAGCTAGAATAACCCCGATGAGACGTGAAGACAAATTATATTTACCTCGGTCAAAATCAGTAATTTTTGAAAAAAGTACATATATGTCTGACATACGAATATACAATAATTTACCCCTCTATCAGCCTCCTTGCCACGCATATATATATATATATAAAGTTAATGCTTATAACATGTTAATATGTATATATAATAAATTACCTGACAATATAAAATTAGAAACTGGGACAATGTTTAAAAGTAAGTTGACAAAATGGTTACAAAATAAATGTTATTATAGTATTAAGGAATATATGACAGATGAAAAAAATAACTGACTGCAATATTTGCACACCTGCCTGCAGGTAGAATACACGTACTTACTTAATATGTATCAACTTGTGAACTGTATTTTGGCAAATAAATTTTAACATTTATTATTATTATTATCTGCGCTCACTTCCTGAATATAAGTTTGTAAGGTCCCTGAAGCAATGGTTGTTATGTAACGCATTTTATAATCTTAATGAATATTTTAATAATAATGTTTTCTGAAAATGACAATTGCATGCCCGATTAGGGTAACTGTTTATTTCAATTGTGTGCATTAACATCTGGCAGTATCACTAAACGTAACAGTTTTGCAATAAAGAATTATTCTATTCTATTCTATTCTATTCTAAAACCTAAGAAACTAATAACTAACCCTAATGTTGTATGTCTTCATGGCTTGGTAGAGCTTGCAAAAATTTAACGTCCATACTTATAAGTGAGAATAATTAAGGTTCCCTATCCCAATGTTGACAACATAATCATATCACGAAGCTTCCTTTGACCGTCTTCCTGTCTGTCAGCAGTCTATTGGTGTCTTAAAGTACCTACTTGAAATATTCACAGAGTATGATTTCTACTGAAGCGAGGTATTAATAATAAACCTACAAATCATAAAATAATGATTTGTGTCTTATTTGTTACGCATCTGGACACAAAAAAATATCACTTTAATTTATATTATTAATTATTGATCCGTAATGTATTATTTTTACGAGTTTTAATAAAACACGTTTAAATCCATATCATCATGATGGTATATTTTTTATTTTATCGAATGACTTGCAATAATACTATACTAAGCGACGTCTGGCAAGTTAACAAATTTAGTGGCTGGGTATATAATCAATGGAGCTGCGTATCTGAACCAGTTGATATCGCGACCTCTCTGTCATCGCACGTGCGAGATGATATTCATAGCACTTATTTTAATCGCGCTCACAGCGCTGTACTTTTACGGTACCAAGAACCAGAATTATTGGCAAAAGAAAGGTATTAAACATGACAAACCGATTCCATTCTTTGGTACAATGGCAAAAAGTTACCTGCAGCAAAAGAGTATTACTGAAATGACCGTATACAATTACTGGAAGTATCCCAAAGAAAAAGTCGTGGGAATGTACATGTCCTCTTGGCCCGCTCTTGTGCTGAGGGATCCGGAGATCATTAAGGAGGTACTGACTTCAGACTTTTTATACTTCTATCCGAGAGGGCTTAACCCACATGAAGAAGTATTGGAGCCAATGATGAAGAATCTTTTCTTTGTTGATGGTGATCTATGGCGGTTGTTGAGGCAACGAATGACGCCTGCGTTCACGAGCGGCAAGTTGCGCGCCATGTTCCCCCTAATAGTGGAGCGTGCTGAGAAATTGCAAACCAGGACCGCAAACGCTGCTGCCAAAGGAAACGCTCTGGATGCCCGCGACCTCATGGCCCGGTATACCACTGACTTCATCGGTGCTTGTGGTTTTGGTCTCGATGCAGACTCACTAAACGATGAAGAATCCGCCTTTAGAAAGCTCGGTATTAAAATTTTCGAGGTACGACTTATAGATGCAGTAAAATTATTTCTAAGAGATCTTTTCCCTGTAGCCCTGAAGCGCATGAAAGTAATGGGAAAAGTTGAAGGTGACATACACGATTTGGTGAAATCAATTTTGAAACAAAGAAATTACCAAAAGTCTGGAAGGAATGACTTCATCGATCTACTTATTGAGTGCAAAAATAAAGGATTATTAAAAGGGGAGTCTATAGAAAGAAAGAAACAGGACGGTACTCCAGAAGAAGCATCCGCAATTCTGGATGAGATGCTTATGGCGGCACAAGTGTTCGTTTTCTTCGCCGCTGGATTCGAAACTTCATCTTCAGCTACAAGCTTTACATTACATCAGTTAGCTTATAATCCGGAAGTGCAAAAGAAAGTTCAGGATGATATTGATCAAGTCCTAGCTAGACATAATAACAAACTAAGTTATGATGCGGTCAAAGAAATGAAATATTTGGATTGGGCTTTTAAAGAAGGCATGAGGATGTTCCCTTCGCTTGGATTTCTAATAAGGAAGTGTGCGAAGCAATACACGTTCCAGAAGCTAGACTTAACGATCGACCCGGGCGTGCGTGTGTTCGTGCCGCTGCAGGCGCTACATAATGACCCATTATATTTTGACAATCCCGAGGAATTCCGTCCTGAGCGATTCGACCCTGAAGTATTCGACAGCAGACTGAAAAATATTTATTTACCTTTCGGCATAGGACCGCGAGCATGTATCGGTAAGTGTATAAATTTAAGTTATACATAGTTAGATTTACATTAAACACTTTCTGGTTTTCCAATATTAATCCAGTAAGCAGATTTTTTTATTTCATTCATCACCTTAATTATGCTCTCAGTGGAATGAAGTAATATCTTAGGTCTTCTGTACATAAAACAAAATGGGACAAGAAAAAAGAGTGACAGGGCTGAAAAAGAGCCTTGATTTTCCCGTCAACTAAATGTGTTACATAAACACCGATACTACAGTTGTTTTTGAGTATAGCAAAAGAAGGATGGTACCTCATTCTGTGGAATCACGTTCTCTTTGAAATCGCCTTGGGCAACATTTTATAATTGTGATGAAGTATAGTGGATGTGGTATGTTTTAGTAAGTATAATGTTGTTTGCAGGCGAGCGGTTGGGGCATATGCAGTCTCTGGCGGGTCTAGCGGCGGTGCTGTCGCGGTTCTCGGTGCGGCCGGCGCCGGAGACGGTGCGGCATCCCACAGTATCACCCTTTTCCGATATCGTGCAGAGCATAAAGGGTGGCCTACCCCTCCTCTTCGAAGCAAGAGAGATCAGTAGCTCGTGAACCTTTAATATTAAGGAAAGTCTGCGTTAATTATTGTTAATTGTACTTGATGTGAGATTGTTTATGATTCTGCGATCGGACTACGGAGTACTTCCGTATCGTTAGTATATATCTATATACGTTGAAGAATCAGTGAAGTTTATTTGTGGTCATAATTAGTATCTAAAAGCATACAGTCACTAGTGTTATCAAAGTGAGTGCCACAAGAGTAAAGTTTTAGTAATTGATTGTTAGATTGAATCTCTGTTTCTCATATGGTATCACCAAAAACTATATAAAAAAACTTTTTTCATTCTGGCTATAAGATGGCGTTTTGAATCATTTTTAACTATGACGCACAAATTGTTTAAAAACTCAGGCGCCCCTCCCGCCGTGTTTACTATGAGATAATAATGTTATTTATTTAACAATACACTTTTTAAGTAGTTATTAATCTGCTGAAGATGAAGGTTTACATAATTTTAACCCTGTCTTGTGACTACGGATTCTGAACAGAGATTTCTTCAGACTCTGAAGTAAAGAAAGAAAGTGTTGATTGACGAAGAAGCGCTTGGTAAATTATTAAAAATTATGTAACAGAAGTTGGGTCAAGATGGCGAAATTAAAATGCGGTTATATTCAAGTAACGCGTTCAGTCACCAGTTTTACAAATAGGAATGAATAAAACTACATCCCGGGCCTACATAATCTTGAAACAAAGAATTAAACAAAAGTTAAGACTGCGCAGAAGTAATTAGTTAATGTAAACAAAACCAAGGCATGGCGGTCAAACCTTATCACATATAATAATGGGGCCGCCCGGTGACGCGAGCTTTGTGTAACTCTATGACAATTATTTTAAATAAAAATATGAGACACAAAATCATAATGGATATTAGTATATTTAAATTTTTGGCATCAAACTTTTTAGTATATATAACAAACAAAAAAACACTTAAATAAAACTAGTTTTTCACGGGTTAATGCACGAAAATTTATTTATTTATTGAAGTTTCGCAGCCTTTACAGGCTGCTTCGTTAATAAATAAATAAAGGTTCGTGCATTAACCCGTGAAAAACTAGTTTTATTTAATAAGTGATGTGCGTGAAAACCTAAGTATATAAATAAATATAAAAAAACACTTGTCCAAGTGTCAGGTTGAACCTGGCCTGAATAGATGTCTTTCTTGTGACAAAATCTTTACATCGATTTGGATGATTGAATTATGAAGTGTGTATCATAATCTGTTAGTATCTTACACACAAGGAATAAATGTACTGACCTGCAGTATTGCAATTGTACCTATTTTTTATGAATAATTAGTTATAGTGTTGTGTTTGTTAAGTTAATAAAAAAATATGTTGCATTTAACATTTGTGTTAATGTTTTATTATTACATTTATCTTTAGGCTTTAGTATCCAATCACTGTTAATACTGGATAATTCAGACCATATATTCAATTATTTGCAATTCAATGAATCGGTCCAATGCATTTTTTACTGTTTGGTTTTGGTTCTCTCAAAAGTATATACCAATCCTGATATGTCTGTATTATATCCTTGGAGTCTTCGGTTGTTCGGGGGACATTTTGTGCGCGGTACTTATAACCCGTCGTTTGCGTTACTCGATACTGTAGTAAGCAATCTATTTCGGCTGCCAAAAAAGTCCGCGGACAAAAGTCCTTCGTTTGCGCAGACCATTAAGCTCGGAAAGACTACAAATTCGATTTTTTTGACGTGACAACGTCTTAAATTAGGTTGCGGCTGGGAGTCACTTATGAAAAAGTGTAACGCTCGGTAACGTTACGATGAGTCTCTCGTGTTAAGTTTAAGTTTACATGTACAATGTTTTAGTAAACAAAATATATTTCTATAGTTAAAATTTGTGCAATTCTTATTTTCATTCAATTCCTTGTTCCTATTGTGCAATTTAATTATATTCATATCAATAAATATTCTACCGAGAAAAAGACGTTGTCACGTAAAATCTTCGCCCGTAAAACCGACTTTACAGGCAACCATTTTTATTATTAATTTTCATTTCGATATAAGAAATGAATATAGCTGTGATCCCGAAAGTAACCATAACTCTCGTTCAGTTGAAATCAGATTAAAATTAGTTACCATATTTATAAATTATGTAATAAAAAATATTGAGGAGTTTGATGGCGCAGGTGGTTATTCGGCTGCGATGGTTAAAGTTAAGCAACTTTCGCAGTGGTCGGTCATTGGATGGGTGACCAAAAACATCTATCTCGAGTTCCACCGTGCTTCGGACGTTAAGCCATTGGTCCCGGCTTCATCTGCAGTCGTTAGCACTGGGCCCGCGTGGTGGGTCATGGCCCAATCTCCCTATTCCATCCATAGGGAAGGCATGTGCCCCAGCAGTGGGGACATTAATAGGCTGATGATGATGATGATATTTATAAATAACAGAGTCCAGACAATAGAGGATACTCATTTTCTGCATTGGTCCTGTTCGGTAATCCAACGGACAAAACGCCAGTCGGTTCTATAAATACAAATCTTTAGATATTATTTTCACTATATCAATCACATCTTAAGTATGAGGAAGGATCATAAAAGAAGTCAGGATCATTGTTCAATTTGTAAAAATTTGAGAGTAAATGCCACTTACGTAGCTGTTGTGAGAGGACATTAGGCTATGATTGGCCGCAACGTGGGAAACTCCTGCGCAGACCTTGTAGTGGTCAGTCACTATGATTGCGCAGATTCCAGCCGAGCCTTTGATAAGGTCACCTCTAACGTCGTAACCTTGTTTACTTGATAAAACCAGTTTAACTAATCTTGCTCTTCTTTTGTTTTTACGTCGTCACATTTGTATAGTTTTGTATCAAGTGCTTATAGATGACATTAAAGATAGACTAAACAAATGTATGTAATTGAGGTATCTAAACAAATAAGTAAGAATAGTTTGATTTTGATTGTAGTAGTAGCCAAAATAATTGGAAAAAACCTAATTGATTCCTTTAATTATCTAGATAAACATAATATTATCTGGAACTAGGAATATTTTAAAGTTTACAGTTTTAAAATAGGAACTTGCAATTGTTGTTGGTAAACAAGTTATATTTAGTAAATGTGACTATTACTACAACTCATTTTAACAGTACAGTTGATTGAGCTTTCTACTGGATATAGAATTTCTAAAATCGGTTCCGTAGTTAAAGAAATTAATTCGTATAAACTGTTTTTTATGTTAAAAGGGTCGTGAACAAGTTATTAGTACGCCTGATGGTAAGCGGCCACCATTTATCTATATTTATAAAACTCAAAGGTGACTGACTGACTGACATAGTGATCTACCAACGCACAGCCCAAACCACTGGATGGATCGGACTGAAATTTGGCATGCAGGTAGATGTTATGACGTAGGCATCCGCTAAGAAAGGATTTTAATCAACTCTTCCCCCACGGGGATAAAATAGGGACTGAAAGTTTGTATGAAACTTTGTCAATTTTAAACCGATCGGGCTGAGACTTTGCATGCAGGTATAAGAAAAATCATAGATGAATGTCATTGTGTATAATACAAGCCTGAGAACAAAAACTGTAGTCTACGCTTCTTCAGCTCTACACCGAAGCGAAGCGAGGGCGGGCCGCTAGTAGCATATATATGCTTGCGATACAAATACAATCACTTGCGCCGTTGCCTACCCTGACATCATCCCCTACCCCGTGGGACCCTGAAACATTAATCACCAACAAAAATGGAACCACCAAAGGGGAAGCCTGTAGCTCCAATTCGAGCAGAAATTTTTCGAGAAGAAACACCCAGATGTTTGGTCAAAAGGGGGCTGGGTTGAATAGTGCCAAAGCGGATGTAACGAGAATTGAAAATCTTCCATACAAAACTTCTCAATGACGATTCGCACTCGCAAACGTAACGAACTCGATATTGATTCGTGCTGAGGGTACTGAATGGTGAAATGAAAATTCAATGAAATAGGTAATTTAAACAATGACTAGAATATACAAAATTTTATTTATATCTTAAAACAAACTTATCTATCTTAATACAACAGTTATCTTAAAATAAAATAAAATTATCTACGAGTCAGTTATTAGATTAAATTATTAGAAAAACTCTGCCAATTTTATAGACATTAGACAAAAAAATCTAAATAAAAACATAAACAGTTTAAATAATCCTCTTCCTAATAAGGTAAAGAAATATTTCATAATTATATTATTAAGGCGCAGGCATTACCTTTATAGAAGTGAATATTATCTATAGTATTGAGTTGGGAGCAAAATTATTTAAGTTACGAGACTACTCTCAGAGAAAACAAAAATCACTTTCAAAAATAAAAATCAATTCGTCTTTATTCGAACTACATAATTATGTATCCACAAGTGTATGAACTTTCTTTATCTATATCAACAATAATTCTAATTTGTAGAAATCTTTTTGTCAGTTCTTCTGGAAACATCGTCGCAAAGATCTGTCATACTTTACTATTTTAAATTACTAGGAACCACTGATATTTCTTGGTTCGAATAATAGAGGGAGTCCACCCTTTATGCTCTGCACTATGTCTGAACTGGGTGATACTGTGGGATGGCGCACCGTCTCCGGCGCCGGCCGCACCGAGAACCGCGATAACACCGCCGCCAGACCCGCCAGAGACTGCATGTGCCCCAACCGCTCTCCTGCAACCAAAATTACACTTACTAAAATGTAAAACATCCACTATACTTAATCATAATCTTAAAAAGTTCAAAGAGTACGCGATTTTTCAAAATTAAGTTTAAATTATTAAGTGAGTTTTATTCTTCATCTGCCATACTTGAGCTTCGGGATCACTTCACTAAGGCCTCCCCCTCGCAGCAAATTTGCCAAATCTCGATACAACTAAAACTAGATCTATGTCATAGAGAAATGTCAAAACGTCAAGGTCAATTTGATATTATTTTATGGGCTAAATCTAGTTTTGGATTTTTGCAAACGGACCTAAACTAAGAAAACTATTTCTTAAACACGTTTCATTAAAGGTAAAGATGAAACAGGTCTTGTCACCCTGTCTGTCTTTTTGTTTTCTCATTTTGGTTTGTGTACAGAAACCCTGGTAAAATACTCCACCCCCAACTAAAATTCTCATGTAAAAACGAAAGAGTTTATAAACTTAAAAATAGCTGAACATTTAATATTAGCAAATATTTTATTTTATATTATTTTCTACAACAAATCAAAAGGCGTCTTAGGTGAACCTAACTATAAAATCCATTTATCCACTTACCAATACACGCTCGCGGTCCAATACCGAAGGGTAAGTATATATTCTTCAAGTTACTGTCAAACACATCAGGATCAAATCGCTCCGGTCGGAATTCCTGAGGATTATCAAAATAAAGCGGGTCCATGTGTAGCGCCTGCAACGGCACAAAAATACGCACGCCCGGGTCGATTGTCAAATCTAGCTTCTGGAACGTGTATTGCTTCGCACACTTCCTTATTAGAAACCCGAGTGAAGGGAACATCCTCATGCCTTCTTTAAACGTCCAATCTAAATATCTCATTTCTTTAATCGCTTCATAACTGAGTTTGTCGTTGTGTTTAGCCAGCACTCTATCAATATCATCCTGTACTTTCTTTTGCACTTCCGGATTAAAGGCTAGCTGATGTAAAGTGAAACTGGTGGCTGAAGATGAAGTCTCGAAACCAGCGGCAAAGAAAACGAACACTTGCGCAGCCATAAGTTCTTCATCTAGAACTGCCGTTGCTTCTTCTGGAGTACCATCCTCTTTTTTTCTTTCTATAGACTCTCCCTTTAATGTTCCTTTCTCTCTGCACTCAAGTAGTAGGTCGATAAAGTCATTCCTTCCAGAGGGCTGATAATTTCTCTGTTTTAAAATTGCTCTTACCAGATCTTTTACGTCGCCTTCAACGTTTCCTAGTATCTTAAAGTGTTTGAACACTTCTGGGAAGAAGTCTTTCAAGCAAAGGACGATTGCCTGCATTATTTCTACCTTAAAGATTTTAATACCTAGCTTTCTGAAAGCAGATTCCTCGTCGTTGAGTGAATCTGAGTCGAGGCCAAAACCACAAGCACCTATAAAGTCAGTAGTGTACCGGGCCATGAGGTCGCGGGCGTCCAGAGCCTTTCCTTTGGCAGCAGCGTTGGCGGTCCTGGTTTGCAGTTTCTCAGCACGCTCCACTATCAGCGGGAACATGGCACGCAGCTTGCCGGTCGTGAATGCGGGCGTCATTCGCTGCCGCAGTAGTCGCCATAGGTCACCATCCGCAAAGAAAAGATTCTTCATCATAGGCTCTATCACTTCGTCGTGAGAGTTAAGTCCTCGCGGATAAAAGTATAAAAAGTCTGTAGTTAGCACCTCTTTTATGATCTCCGGATCCCTTAGACATAGAGCGGGAGCGATGGCCATGAACATTCCTACGACTTTTTCTTTGGGATATTTCCAGTAATTGTAAACAGCAATTTCAGTAAGACTCTTTTGGAACAGGTAATTTCTTGCCATTGTACCAAACAAGGGAATTGGTTTGTCGTGTTTGATACCTCTATCTTTCCAATAGTTGAAGTTTTTGGTACTGTACCAGTACAGGGCAGTGAGCGCAATTAGGAAAAGTGCGATAAAAAACATGGCGACGACAAATATGTTGCGATATGAACATATGCACTCACGGAGAAACACTTCTAATGTAATCACTCTGAAAACTAATTTAAACAAGCTCAACATTTGCTAATTATATACTATGTATACACAAAGAATGTTTCGATAAACCAAAGGAAAGATAATAGTAATGTTAATTACCGTACAGACACACATACAAGAGATATTTGAGAAAATTATCTTACATGTGGAAGTATTTAGAGTGTACTTAGCTTTCTGTATCTGTGTGTCATGATAAAATGAATACCTACACCTACTGATTTTTATCATTACATAGTAAGTATTTGGTTTATATAATATTAATTCAAATGTGAGAACAAGACGGTTTAAGTAGATATTACATTATAAGTGACTTCACTGACACTGAGAAATATTGTCATTTTATTATGTTTGTAAAAAAAGGAATATATTAAAACTAAAACGTAAAAGGAGTCCCAAACACAGCACAAAAAAAAACTTTAAGTAATAGTACTTACAATTATAAGCATTACGAAGTAAATACGGGTGTTATTTAGTTTCTAGTAGCAGTATTTGTAGCAGCAGGCTTGCAGTCTTAAAGGTAGCTGCTACACGACATGCACCATCTCGTCCTTCGTGTAACTCCACGATGCACCCTAGTGGCCAACGGAAACGTTTCTCTGATGTCTGTACTACTAATAAAACTAATATATTCTTTATTGCACGCAACAAAGGACACAAGACGTAATACTACATCACCTACATTCAAATAATGACTACCATCTCTGCCCTTGAGTACAAGTAATGCCAAATAGTTTGCTCATTGCGAAAACGTGTCCTCAAATCGTTTCTTTATTTTTTGCAAGTACTTTAATCGTAGATTAAGCCCTATAGCGTCTAACTGATCTAGATCTGGTAGTTCAGAGCACGATAAGGGTTGTATAAAAGATGACATGATTTAGACATGCATCAGTGCTTGTAACAGCCTAAACTGAATAAATGATTTTGATTGATTATTATTGATGCTGGTGTAATAGGTTGTAACAAAACGTCATCATCATCAAATATGAAAGCGGCCGAGAATTCGATTATTACAGTTTCCAACTCGACGTAACTGAGGGAAGCCTTACCTAGCACCTGCCGTAATAACTCTTTGACTGTCCTTATCATTCTTTCATAATACCCTCCCCACCTTGGTGGTCCTGGAGGAATCATAATCCATTTAATTTCCTTGATGGTGGCTTGTGACACAACTTCTCTCCAATCTATAATATAATATAATTTGTAACATTATCGGAGTACATAGTTTCCACTTTACCTCTTCTGGTTATAAATCTTCGCAATGATAGCAGAAAATTGTTTGTTGATAGTGATGTTACTAATTCTAGATGAATAGCTCTGTGGACTGCGCACGTATATAACACCAACCATACCTTGTCACCATTGCTTAATATAAATGGCCCTGCTAAGTCCACTCCACTTCTTAAAAGACTTTAACTACCTCTGAAATGCATATTTAGGTAATGAAAATAACAATATTGTAATGTTCATGACAACTTAACTTCATACCGACCTTCTTCAATAATTCTTATTGTCTCATGAAAATAATCCATTATCTACTTTTGCAATACTTCCTTTTTCGTACGCAGGATCTTTAATAACGATTGATTCCAAGTTCCAATGTTCAAGTAAAATAATATTCATATTAGCTGCAGTATGGTTGAGGGTTGAAGTACATACGCTTGAACTAGCTGTAGTGCATTGTAAAACCCATCCCAGTTTAGTTTTCATTGCAACTAACATTTCATTAACATGAACTATCTCACCTGTAAAAAGAAAACCTGAATGATCTGCGCCTATAGGTAAATCTATATAGAAACAATCGCTGTTGCTATCATTCAGCGTAATATTAAAATCTTTAACTGGTTTTTAAAAATGTTCGAGTTATTCATTAGAGTAAATAACCACATGTTTATCTTTATCTAAGGCAGAAATCATAGATTCAAACTTAACACTGAGATCTTGAATATTACATGTATACAAATTATGATTTTCTATATTTGTTTTAAAACCTCCAAAAAGAGAACGGGAAATGGTATGGTGACTGCCTGGCTTTCATGCCTAGTTTTGCAATAATTCGTTTTGAAATATAAGATTTTTGAGCTCCACTGTCAAATAACGCTCGTACTTTTAAACATCTGTCATAAAAAATATTAATACAAATAGTTTGTTGTAATGTAGTAATAAAACAAATAGTTTATAGTAATGATAGTCTTTAAAACAAATATAAACTCCTTGGTTTGACTCGCTTACAGGTATTTTGATAGTTGTTTGAAATTGCTATGGGTAACTCTCGAGATTGAAATTATTATTGTTTGGACACATGACGATCGCATGCCTTTTTGTGCAGAATATACATTTTGGGTAAATATGGCAGTTATTTGCATAATGACTGATTTTGAGGCAAATCGAACATGCTCTTTTGGACTTAAAAAATTCTTTTTTTCTGGTCTAGAGTTATTTGTTGGGTTTTTATTCATTCCGAACTCTTATGTGTGGTTTTTTTCACACCAGATACAGGGCAAAACCTTTTCGGCAGCTGATGTAGAAGTTTTCTAATAAATATGGTAATGCTTTTATTGGTTTGCTTCCTGTCAGCTACAACTGTACATGCCGTGGTCTGGTATAAGGCACTCTTTCATTGAAACTGCTTCTAGCCATCAGTTCGCATTCGTCTTCAGACTTCAAAAAAATCATAAGCTGCTAAAGCTCGTCTCCATCAAAGTCAGGGATAGCCGACTCAAGTAAGGGATAGAGCATTTTGGCATATTTGTCGCTGGTCAGACCAAGTGTCTCCAAAGCTCTCAAGTACGTGTTACACTTATCATAGAAGCCATGGAAATCAAAATTTTCCCTATTACTTGACTGGCACAGCACAAGGTCCACAAATTTTCTTATGTAGTGGCGGAAAATGAATTTATCTTGAATAAAACAAGTTTTAACGGGTTAGATGCACTAAGTTTATTTATTTATTGACGTTTATTTTATCTAAGAAACAAATATGAATTTATCTTGGGCAAATCTTGACTTCCAGTCCGTTATAGCTTTATAATAATAATTTTTACCACTTGGGGAAAGCTTTTCTCCATTAATTCTCTCGCTGACGTGCCAGGTTCCGTAGCTTTCATTAAATACTGAAACTTTTCGTCATCCAGTCTCCTATTTTGCCGTCAAAACTTTTAATTCTAAAGTCAGTAACTGAAACTTTCTTTTAGAAATATTTTTCTGAGCCTCGCTTTTATTTCCATTTAAATCATTGGCAATGTTATGGTTAAGATAATAAAGTAATAAAATCGACTCACATTTGGATTTGATGACGTTGTCATGCATCTCCCGGTTAGTGCTTTCGTCAATGTCTAAAAGGAGATTGCTCAAATTGGCCTAAATGCATAAAAAATATTGACATACACGGCAATTCTTGGCGTAATTTATAATTAAATTTACAGTTATCAGATTTCAACGGACACCTTTTTATAATATATTTACTTTAAAGAGGACTTTTAATTTTACCGGTTTGGAAAACATACGAATCATTTTTAACGGTTATGGGTGTAGTAACATTCAGCCAAAGACTGATCGAAGTTGTTTATATAACATAAAAACAAATCTATTTTGTAAAGATCGATAAAATAAATCATATTTTTTATTACACTGTGGTATTAATATCCACAACTATATTATCATTTTCACTAGATGCAAATGTGCTCAGACAATTATTATAGATGGTAGGCGACATCATGCAGTCTATTGCCATACATTTTTCGCCAAACACCTCGATAAGCACATTATAATCTGTATATATGTTAGACTTTAAGGTATCTATCTATGGGCCTACGTTCCCTGACTATAAATTAATAATTAAATAAAATTATAAGATGTGATACACTAAAAGTCTCAAATATGGTAATCTTAAAAACATAAAAAAACTAATGAAGCTACTGAATATATGGCTATAGAAAATAAATCCCTTAGCTTTTTTTGGTTAACGAGAGTTTAAAAATTGTCTCTTATTTGTGGCTCATTCACAATCATCACACAGTTTCTGTCACAAAGTACCTTATTAAAACCGGAAATGACACCTGATTTTAAAAGTTACTCTTATGCATTAACTTTAAAAACAGGCAACTATCTGTTAATCTACATGCTCTTTATACCTGAATCTAATCCATAATTTCGGTACTTGGCTTGATTTCCCTAGTTTACTATATAACTTATTTGTTTTTTATTATTTTAATATGTTCAGTGTATATGGTTTATAGAAGTTCTCAGGGGTGTCCGTCAATAATATTCATGTCTACAGTTAAATTTACATATAATTTCGAATCTAGGAAACAATATTTCATGATTATTGGTCTTTAGGCCAAACATGTATGGAAGCTGAGCAATCTCCTTTCTAACTTATTTTCTTCGGAAATACTATCGTCCGATATAATGGCTGCTTTCAAGGTTGCATCAATTTTGAAAAGCTGCTTCGCTTTTGTTTTGTATGACTCATAGAGTCCTTTGAGTTCAAGACTTGGTTTTTCTTTTGAAATGACCTCTTCCATTTTTTGCCCGTCATAGTGAAGGCCATGCGGAATATTTTAAACATATTTTATTTCTTAAGTCGCCATTATTTTTGTTGTGGTTTAAGTAGATGGTATATTGCAAGTGACTTTTCTGTAAATTATGATATTTCAAACAGAGCCAGAGGTCCTTGAGATAGAACAGAGGCCAGAGGAGAGGTCAAATTCTGTATGGAAGCAGCAAGTTTGTTCTTACGTCCGGAAGGGGCGCATATAAACTTTGACGATGCGATACGATTATGGAGTCATCCAAATTCGTGCTTGGACCTCAGAATGGTCAAGACTAGTAAGGCATTTGCTTAAAACATATCGAGTACAAATAGAATATTTACTGGCAGATTTTTTTAAATTCAATTAGAAAACAAGTTATTTATTTATTGACCGTTTTGAAGTATTAAACGAGATAAGACGTATTTTATATCTTGATAGTCCAAGTGTTCGTCGAAATGCAAAACAAACGCTATTTTCCTGAGCAAAGTCCAAATACAAATCCAAAG